ATAGTATAATAGAGAATTGTTCTGTCTATAACGAAAATGATCTATTTACACTACTGTGAGCTATCGACCAACTGTGCCTGGCTAACATTATTATTGTATATACTACTGGAATATACCGCTAATTAGATATCATTAATAATCAATAAGCATAGGATAATAATTTATCATAATTTGTTTTTTTACACAACAGAAAAAATCTTAGGATAATAATTTTTACCGATTTGACTCTATATATTATAAAAGGATATTTTGTAAAATTGTAATCAGTAAATTACTAGATATTATTTCAAAAGTAATTGCAAACCTGGAAATGTACGAAATATTAATAATATATCTGAAATGACAAATATAATTATTAATATATTTAATATATTTATGGAAAATCTTATTATCAAAGATGTGCAATTTGCAATATATAAAATAGTGCATAAAATTTAAATGCTTTGAGAATTAAGTGAAGGAAAGTTTTGACTTTTATCCGATTTACTTCGTTTGGCGGTCGACTTATACTGTCGAAAGGACGCGAGGGAGTTGGCAAGGTATCATAACAGGACGAACGATCGAGAGACAAGCAAATCTTCGACGGCGACTCTCATGCATAATCCAGAAGTTTGTATCACTTAAATAAGACGCTATCGTATAAGTTCTGGAATTAGGTGGATATTTTGTTTCTGCATCTGTTTGTAATATTTTGCCATTGAAATTTTTTAGTGTAATCGAGTAATGTGTTTAATTTAATCGAGATATAATATGTGTTATACGTGTACTGCAGAGTATATTATTTTATTGAAAATTTAATTATATTCAAATTAAATGTACAAATTCAACAAAATATTAATATAAGTTTAATTCAGAATTAATTTGGTAATGTAATATCTTTGAATAAAAAAGAACATCTTGTTTAATTTAATAATTTTAATATTCTTTTTATTAATACATGCATATTTGCACAACGCACATAGCATGCATATTTGCACGTACACGCACGTAAAAATGTTTCATGTTATTGTTCCCATTATTAATTAATGGAATTAATGGTTGTGTTACAGCATTAAAACAAGGATAATTGTTGTTATTTAATATTCGAGTTTACTGAAGTGCGCAAGTGCGCGAGTATTTGCTCCCAATGTTTTCACTGTGACAACTTTTTATGAGAGTAAAAACATGGAGAATAGCTGCTAGTAAACCAGACAGAAAGACGCTTCATTAAGCTGCTTGCGTGTTTATGAGAATATATGTATTTCTAAGCTTTTATACATTCCCCAAGTGTCCCCTTTCATATGTTGCTCAAATACGCGTATGACTATATGTACTCTTCATTGTGAGAAATATCAGCAGTCCAAAGAATATAAAGCACCGGTTGCGATTTTATGAGCATTGCGCTTTTCGCAAATGTATGAATTATAATCACTTGCCTCGATAAAAATTTACCGCTTTAAGTATGAACGTGATTAAATTTATATCTACAAATTATTACTTCGACGAGATACATGAATAAATAGCCGATTCTGTCTTCAATAATTCAACAATATCAACATTAATGTTAAATCTCAGTTATCGATACGTCTGATATTTCCCAAACTAAAAATAACTAAAAAATACTTTTGTATAATTTCCTCGTTTTGTTCGTGCCAAAGCAAACTTTCCAATAAGATTTAGAAGGTATTTGTGGCATTTCTGACGCATCTGAATAATATTTTTGTTCCTGCTTCGTTTTTTTAATATTGCGCGGACACAAAGGTCGAGGCGAGGAATTTATAAATTTCCGCCTTTCATTTTACGCGTATTTAATTACGCGTCTTTCATTTATCGCAAAATTAATCCGACGCGGAATGGCACGCGAAAATGTTCCGGGTTTCTCTCGAGTTTTTTCTTCTCTTTTTTTCAGCAGTGGCGCACTTGCGCTATTTCAATTATTTTATGCAAACGTCACGATTTCGTAATTTTCCGTTTGTATCGATCAACGCATCGCCATTGTGTTTATAAAAACTTTTTCTCGTTATATCTCCTGTTTGCAGAATTACCTCAGTTAAATCGCAATAACTTGTAGATTTACGAAATTATTGTACACATATTGAAAATCAATAAAACTTTAACACATAAATTGAATCAAATTTGAACAATTCAAGAGCAAACGAAGATTGTACTGATGTGCAGTCTTCGTTTTTTTTTTTTTTTTTGCATAAAATTAACAGTGTGAGACGTTATTGATAATTGGTGTAACTATTTAAATAAAAGCAAGCTGTACATAAACAAGATTTTATTTTATCCAAAATGGACGACTCAATTTCACTTCAAGTATGATGTGAAACAATTCACGAAAAAGCAATTTTTAGGCGAATGCGGCATACAAAATTTGCATTTGGCCGGGGCAACACTTTGACAGCGCCAGCAAATTCGAGTTCGAGCAAATCAAAAGCAGAGATAGGCTTGCACCGGCGAAAATATTCGATGGGACAGGCGAATACGTTGGCTTTTATTTTTTTTCTGATGATGTATGGTGATAAACGATGTAAATTTTTTTTCGATGGAGGAAGAGGAGGAGTGAGATAGTTCCTGTGGCACCTACGCTACAGACAGAAACAAATTTCGCATGGTCGACGAGTTAGGCTCGCAAAACTGGGCAGCCCGTTTTCTCTCTTCGTAGTTACGCATCTCTCTTTTTTCTCTCTGGTCGGTTTCCGTTTCCGATTTTTTTTCCTTCTTGCGTTCTTTTGTTTATTTATTTATTTTTTTATTTAAAACACTGTATATCTATCAAACAGATCAAATTTAGACATTCTGCATTTTTCCTCTAAAAACATTTATTTAAAATAATAACTAACAAATCATTAAATTATTCGATTACATATTTCTGACCAAATAACGTTGGTTGTACAATTTTAATAAATCTTCAATATAATTTTAAAAAAATAAAAAACATTTGTAAACTATACTTGCATACGTGTAAAATTGATTGATGATGCGGTGTACATAACATAAAAATTCAAAGTAAAACAATGGGAATGTAGAGCCAAAGCACGGTGTTGATAACTTATTATTCTTTATCTTCTTAGTAATCCAAGGTGATTACAAAGCTGATTACAGTATAAAAATTCGATTTTTAAGTAAAGAAGGAAATTATTTTTCGTGGTTCTCGAACATTCATCGTCTCGCAGATTCGCATTCTCACAACCCAATCCACGATATGGCAGTTTCGTCTGCTCGATAGGTATACAGTGCTTTATCCTGAACATGTCTCGTCACTCGCGAGTGATTTACGTGCCCCGACCAAGAATCGAAAGCCGCGAGCGATAGCCAGAATTGCGGACGCGTTATTTTTTCGGGAGAACCTATTCATCGGCACCTGTCGTCCCGAAAACCGGCTTTCCCGTTGCTAACGAAAAAAAAAAGAAGAACGAGGATATCGCATTCGTATGGCGACCATTTAATTGATCTCGCAGACCGCGAACGGAGGCGCTTGTCGAAGATAAATTTCGACACTGATTGAATCTCAGCAGTTGGAATGTCGGTACCTTCGGTAATAATTTTTCTTTTGTAGCTTGACGGAGTTGAGTATTTTGCCGATTTATTCGGGCAAGTCAAATCACGAATAATTTTATTAGGATTACTGGGCCGGGAAAATTACTATTGCTCGATACCATTTCAGCGAGAGGAAACTTGATAAACGCAGGCGGGCGCGTATTTTACGTGATTCGTGTATGAATTATAATGCACATAATTAAACGGTTAATTGAAACGTACAGATTTAATGGTAGCCGGCAGTAGCCGAAACGCAAATAAAATCAATGTAAGTGTGTTATCGTAAATGTCCGGTTGGCCATGCGCGGCTTTTACCACTTAATTGCCTATTACTGTACAAATTATGAAAATTGTTTCAAAAGATGCATCAATACATAATTTTTATGTAAATTGCATTGAGTTACTTCTGAATATACACTTAATTGCCAGTTAAAATCAACAGAAATTGATTAATATTGGAAATTAGAACAGTCATAAATACGTGTTATACTTTTACATATTTATCTAGGCATTACTTCGAGACAAATTTATTACTGTGATATAATTCAGAAAATATATTCTTTGTCACAAACTGAATAATTATAATAAATAAAAAAGTTTAATCAATTTTTCATTAAAAAAATAAATCGCATATTTTTCTACGCAATAAAAAATATTAAAACATAAAAATATAATAAAATAAAATAAAAAAATAAAATATTAAAAAATAAATTGCATATTTTTCTATTTTACGATAAACATGGTACAAAATCGTTAGACGTTATTAAAAAAAATAAAATAATGTAGTAGAACGTGTGTTATATCATAAGTTGTATGCATAGAACAATTATACAACTAAACGCGGATAATTAAAGAAATATATTTGAGAGAGTATTCAAGACACGAATTAATGGCGCGAGGATGTGCTAAATGGTTGGCGGTGCAAACCGACGGACAACTATTTTACAATAAAACAGCACGCTGCGTGGGCGTTACCTAAATAGTTTATCGCACGCGGTTATACATAAATATCCCATAATGGCAGATATTGTTAGCGGTAACTCAAACAGGCAGACGGGAATCTCTATTGGTTGCTGGTGAATTAATAGGATGACAAAATTTTATGTGTAACGAGATGAATATTACCGCGTGATTATCGATTCATCGCAATAAATTTAAAAAGTGCAGACATTTATAAAATAAAAGTACTTACAAATACTTGTTTACAAAAAAGAATAACAAACATCTATTAAGAAGTTTAATAAGATTTGTGCAATTTTTTGCGCATTTATAAAAATATATTTTAATAATATGAATATATATATATATATATATATATATATATATATATATATGAAAAAATTTGAATAATATATTTATATAAAATATAAATATTATGAATAAAATCCAGCAGAAAAAATTTTACAAATTTTTTATGTTGAAAATTGCACAAAACTCTTTTCAGATATCTAGTATTATTTATAAAAATAAAAACTTACAAATCACCGTCAGATTGGCCATCTGATAAGTGGTGGCAAAGGACGGCGCCTCGGTGGAAACTTCGCATTTGTATTGGCCCGAGCTTTCTAGAACAAGGTCCTTCAAGCTTATCGATTTTTCGTTGTTGCTGTTATCTGCGAGTCTTATCTGCTGCGGTCTTAGCTGTGGGCAGAAAAAAGACGAGAATGTATTTGTTTTGCTAATGGAGAACTTTTGTAACGAGACGTGATGTCGATCTGAGACAGATCTAGACTTGGATTTCATTCGCAGTTAAGTCTTATCTACGCGACTATACGTATATCTTATGTGCGCTTGCTATATCATTTTCAAGACAATCAACACGTGATTGTATTTGCGAAATAATGGAATTTCCGGAGAAAGCGCAAGATTAAATCTCTTAAATTAAAAAACTGCGAATCCATAATATACATGTGCCCAAAAAATCAATATTAAATTTGCAATTATGAAATAAAAAATTATAACAAGTATCAAAACGAGATACAGATGTGCTACTAAATAAAACAAAACTCTATAAGTAAAAAAATTCTGACATACACATGTTAATTTTGTCATAACCATCTCTTGTCATAAAATTTTAGGTATTCTTTTTTTTTACAAAATCCTATATTAAAAACTTCTTGTAAAAGTCTTACTTAAAGAAAAACTGTTTTACATTAAGTATTTTTATTCTCTTTTATTTCTCCAAGCTTATAAAAAAATATAACTATCTTACTATTCCACCTTGCTATTCAAATAGTCATGCATTTTGTAGCTCAGCCCTTCTAAAGTTAATTAAACTCTGTCTACGGCGTGCTTCTAGCTGTCACGTTAGTCTGCCGTCGCTCGAAGAGTCGTGTTCCAACTATCAGAATAGTAGTCGTATTGTCTTCGCGAGCCATGCATCCTCCACGTGCGACTTCATTGATAGCTGGGAGGAAGACACACACAGCATTCGCGGCTTATCGATAATTCATGGCCCGTTACTGGAGCTCGAGACACAGTCTCGGCTGCTCGCATTAGATTCGATTAGGTACATCCGTGGTCCAATTAGCTCTCTATGCTATGCGATGACGCAGCCGGTGCAACGACGCGCGCGATCCCCTTCCTATGACCCTGCGTTAACATTTATAGAAAATCGAGTATTCGTATCGATCGCCGAACACTGATTTCACTGGAAATTCTCCAGACTTTGCACATATTTAGACACTTAATGCGTCTCTAAATTGTTCGAGCTTGATTTGCGCTTTCATTGCATGATAAATATGTAATTTTGTGGCGCACTAAAACGCACTGCATTTAATTAATTCTAAATTCTAAAATTTCTGTTGGACTTTCAATATTTCTACGGCAAATTTAATTATAATAATTAAAGAAACTGCGAGGAAATAAATTTAAAATCCGTTTTCGAATAAATTATAGATTAGTTTTTTAAATGTGAATTCTTTAATTCTGAAAGTTAATTTTTAATAGATAGTAAATAATTAATATACTTTAGATTATATTGTACATTACGTGTATAGGTCGCATCACGTCGTATTTTGATGAAAAAATTGTTTACCGTCAAAATTGATTTGAAATAATTCTCGTAAAGCAATACACAGACACACGCGCGGAGAAGGAAACGGATTATCGACGCGGCCGCTTTCAATTTGGTCGTCGACACGCGTCGAAACGCGCACAGAGCCGCGCCGTTGCCGTGCACCCAATAAAAGCCGTCTCTTCCGTAATTTCCGGCTACATTAACGGCATCTCCGGCGGCCGCGTCGTCGATCTTCCGATATTCTGATAATCCGTGCGGTCTCAGACGCCGAGGAAAATTGCCGTTGCTAGTGACAGACAACCTTCTCCGACGGTTTGGATGGCTCGCGGTGACGGCTAATTAAAGTGAATTAGAAACTTTCGTCCATCCACCTTCGCTCACTATTACGGAGATAGGAAACTCTTTAATCAATTTAATGTATCCTATGTAGAGCATGCAATCGCAATATCGCGCTAGTACAGCGGCATCAAAATTGAGACACTTTTTATTTTGCGCGCATACAAGCTGTACGACATAGTAATTGTTTGTTAAAATGTTAATCAAAAATATTTATTTCATACTCATCGTAAAGTCTTGAAAACGGCAGAGATTAATTTTAACATTGGCAATTTATTATTCAATAACTAATATGATGCTTGGAGACAGAAAGGCTGATACTTTAAAACTCACAACAATTGCCATTTTTTATAGCCTTCGTTCAGAAGCAAAACAAGCGCAAGTCGTTGTCTAATTTTACTTGAATAACTTTCCGATTCGCATTTACGAGAAAAGCATCTAACGCGCAGAAAAGTTTCAAAATAGAATAATACATGGCCTTATGATGTTGCGCGATAGATTATGCTCGTAAATCGACACGGGAGCGCATTATAATTGCATATTGGAAGAGAAAGAAGTATTTCCGCAAAATAATATTTATTTATCGGTTCAATTCCAAATTCTTAAATTGTACCAATAATCACAAATAAATATAATCAAAGAATATTTTTCAAATAAATAAATAAACAGCAATATCAAAGAATTAATAAAATAATATAAATTTAGAATCTTAAAATTCCTAGAACGTTTATAAGAATAACTTATGAAAAATAACTCGGATAGTTCTTCAATAATCAAATCAGAAATAATTATAGTCCATTTTTATTATATGTCCTTATTTAATTTTCTCTTCTTCCGTACAAGAATTCCACTGCATTTTCTCAAGGATAAAATCTTCGCAGATTGCATGCGTACCGCAGAAACAGCGGCAGTCGCTTCTATCAGAGCGAAATATCTTAGTAATACAAATGTAAGATCCAATGTAATTCTTCAAAATGCGCAGTGGAGCTTACACGTTTCGGGAAGCAGCGGATCTTAAATTCCGCGCGCGAGAGAGAGAGAGAGCGGTGCGACGCGGCGACACGACGGCTGGTGTCTTTTGGCGTTATACTGGCATAAGAGTAGCAAAAAAAATAACGAAGCCGACGGAAATTCGCCGGTGTAATTTCCTCGGGGTAATAAACTAAAAGCATGTTTCCCGGCCGCCTTCCATCGAATCTGCACCAGCTTGACTCGACTCAAGGCTAGAGCGCTACTCTCGTCCGCTCTCTTTCTTTCTCTCTCTCTCTCTCTGTCTCTCTCTGTTCAAGAACAAAATTACTTTTACCAACGGATAGAAGCTCGAAATAATTCGAGGGACAAGCGAGGAAGCGAAGTCGGAGAACTTAGGCAAAATTCGCTCGGAGCCCTCCTTGACTTCGTCCTTTAAGTTTCGAAATTGTACACCGCTCGCGTATTAAGAGACCTGCAGAGAGAGGCGGGGTTAAGGAAGAAGAGAAACTGCGCCCCAGATCCCCCCTCCGAAATAGGATACGCAAAGAAGAGAAGACGAAGGACGTCACACAAAGTTTTCGACTCCCCTGATGACACTCTGCTGTAAAATTAATCGCGCGGAGCGAGATTTAATAGTGTACTTTGCGGACGACATCACCGGCGTTAATCAATCAGTTTAAACCATGTCTCGTTCTCCAGTTAATTATTGATTAATTAATAATCTCCAAGTTTCTACTTAAGAAAGCGATTAAAAGTGCTTTATTTAAGAAATAAATCAGCCATATAGATCTATCCGTAGAAATATTTCAACCAAAATTTTCGCTATTAGCTACTTTTCTTAGATCAGATTTTGTCAGACGCTAACGATAAGATATTCTTAGCATCGGAAACGAAGCGCTTCCTTGACTTTGACTTCATCCTCATTCATTCATTCATTCGCGTCGCACTTTCCTCGCCGAAATTCCGCGTAGCCAAAGTCGTTATTCAAGAAACGTCTCGAAAGTTGAGAGAGAGAGAGAGAGAGAGAGAGAGAGAGAGAGAGAGAGAGAGAGAAAGCAAAGCTTGCCTACGTGTGCGCGCACTCGAGTACCTCGATGTCTTCGCTAATTTATGTCACCGAATGGAATTTCAGCTCGCTCGATACAGGAAAGTGTCAGGTGCTTTCCGGAAAACGCGAGTACAATAGTAATTTGTTTTTCGGCCGCATGAGACGTTATCAAAGCGAGAGTGGCTGTGAATCAGTGGTAACGCACGACAAATGAAATTGCATTCTTTCAACTATGTTTTCGATTCCATTCGCTTTTTCGTATTAGAGTTATCGGCACCTTCCTTCTCGTTTCACACATATATCCACAAATATTATTACACCTTTTAAAACGTACTTACGGTATACGTCTGATGGTAAAGTTCGGAAACAACAGAGTTACATGGCGCATTAACTTTGAATAACCTATAAACCTTCTTTTCAAACTTTTATTCGTTGTGATAAGTTTCTAGGGATAAAATCCGCACATACAATCATCGTGTAAACTGTGATAGACGGCCGTTATAAACGCACGAGTATATATACAATTATTCGAGCAAATTGCTGGTAGTTAAATTAAATTTAACGAGATTCTTCTAATTAGATATCGGGAATTAGAATCGTAGTAAAAAATAAAATTAAGTATAGCTTTCATTCTAAAATTAAGTGTTATTATTTTTTATTTCGAAATTGGGATACTAAATGTGTTAAAAATATTAATCTAATTTAATATTTCATATTTCAAAATCAAATATGGTTTTTATCAACAAACTGGAGAAACGTTCTTGGCGAAAATAAAATGGAGAATCCCGCTGTCTACTCCACGTCCGCGACTGATAAAAATGTATAAAAGATTAGATGTCGTGAAATTCGCATCCGAGCATTACGTAAGCGCGTGCGCCCGTCGAAGATGTTCATCTTTTCTATTCACTTTCATCTTCACTTGGATTAACCTGACCTGCCGCGGAATCCATTAAGCGCGTCCAAAACGACGACCGTAGACTCGTCGCTTAATGGATGGATACGGACGTGTAATGGATGTTGTTGGTTCTGCTCGCTCTCGGCGGGGATGAGCCTGCAGAGAGACGGTGACGCCTTTTTGCATCCCTTCACGCGAGATAGAAAAATCGAGATAGGCAAATGCCTGAAACTTGGTCCGCGCTTTGAAAGTAATCCCGTGCATTATCCCGAGCGATAATAAAACGAGATAAAAATCTGACGTTTCATCGCTCAAGCTGAAGCAGCATAATTTCTCGTCTCCCGTATAATATAAAATAACGCCTCATTTCG